ACAAACCTCCATAAAAGGAAAAGACGGGAAGCTACAAGTTGATTGTAAGATAAATTGGAGGGCGCACAAAATTGTCTAGAGGTGGAACATCCGGATTTCGGTCGCTTCTGCAGACGCCAATAGTCCGAATCGGTCTTAGTCAGTTGAGAATTAGTCTCTAAATGACATAGAAGAAGTGCTCTTTCTCTATGGCATGAATGATTTCAGACTGACATGGCGCAGTCGCATCCAAATCAGGTTTCTTCCACATCCCATCCAGGAGCACCTGAGTGAGCTTTCATATTCTCTCCATCGTAAGACTAACATGTGATACCCGGCAGGAACATACGAACGGGCAAACACAGAAGCTGGTTGTAAACACGGGAGTCCGTCCTTCAGTTGGAAACTTATGATGAAAAGAGCCGTGAAAAGCAGGTGCAGACTAGTAGCTACATATGACGCAGCGTAGAATGTTGTGCTCAGAAAAGGACTGTCCACCGAATAGTCTGCTCAACTTTGTGTGATTGAACATTCAGCAATTCGGATTGCACAGCTTCAAATATAAACCACCCTGAAAGCCCCGTCGCGTGAAAGTCCGTTTTAAATCTGTACTTTCGAAATGGTTAGCGTAACATATGCATCCTCACTACTTTATTCCATTTTAACGACAAGCTATCGAGCTTTACCACCATCTTTTGTATGTACTTGTTCGTATGCTGAGGTCAGGCACCATATTTTGACGGTAAAATAAGAGATTTTTGGAAGGGAGGCGTGAATCCATCGCGGTGTCTTTCAGTGGTGATTGCAAGGAACTTGTGTTGCCTGTGATTGCGCCAGACATGGTCAAAACTGAGAATGTAACAGGTAAAAAGCACGCCTTCAGATTCCTTTACCAAGGGTACATGGACAGATCAGGACTGACGGGTAACATCCACATTGCCGCCGACTGCAGACAATCGAAACCTGTGCAGTTTATCTCGAAAATAACTTTTGGAGACCTAGGAGCTTCAGTTGACCCACCTATAAACTCGTCCAACGCTGATCCAATCCGTTTGAGTCTGGGACACTGACTTTGTGCCCCTTCTCCATTTTCCATAAAGTACCAGTGAATTCATTTAATTGAGCATGTGATCTCTCTGGGGCGTTATAAAATCTAGTGGTATATTGGTCCAGAGGACTGGGATTCGAGCTAGATGCCTTGATATAGGCGTAGAGCTTTTGTCCATCTGAACAACAACGAGAACTTTACTAGGCTATTCGAGGAGCGTGGTAAAACCCTCTCATATTTGTGAGGATATTCTACTTGTTGTTATTTGCTCACTTGAAAAGTTCTACTGTATCGAAAAAAATGTACGAATACAACCCGCGAAAGGCTGTAAATTGTGATGGGTGAAAGTTATGGAAGGAATTTACGAACAAGTCCGTCCCAGTATGGCAGAGGATTGCCATGACGGCTGTGAAAAGAAGAGACTCTCTTAGCACGATCCTTGCATAAAGCTGTCTGTCAAATGATTTTCGAGTTTCAGCTGCGTATTACTTGAAGTCCCGGTATAATCAAAGGAAGTTGAAGCTGAAGCCCCCCTGCATTTAGATACAGTCGTCTGTCCTCAGATACGATTTTCCATGGATTTTTTTTCATTGAATTACCTGTTGAGGAAGACTCACAAACTGATGGCTTACGCAGCTATCACATATTAATTTCCTCCCCTTCTCGTAGAGGAATTTTTTAACTGCGAACTCGAAAAGTTTAAATATGACAACTACACCACATTTTTTCCTCTGAAGGCTCATTACAGTTGGCTTCGTAATGTACCAATCAATCAATCAATCAATCAATAAACCGTGTACCATAATCACATTGGTTCCAGCTGCTAGAGTTTTGATCACCCAAAAACGGAACATACAGCCAAGCTTTGAAGGCGATAGAATGTTTCGTTAGTTCGGGAACTGGGTAGCTACACATTGAAGGTGATAGCTTTGCAGGAGCGTCCCTGACTGCGCGATTGGGTCATTTTTGCCAATGTCATTACCCATTGGTGATTTGAGTCCTGGCGTTCCCATCCGGGGAGGCGGCAGTTGTCGACCGGACTCAAGTTACTGATTAGTGTTTTCAGACTTCGTTGCTAGGTCATACATTGTCCACCTTTCAGTCGCTTCCACTCAGCACATGGATAAGAGAAAAGGGCTCTGCGAGGTTGACGTTCTTCTGGCACGCGGAGTACATGTCCTAACGTACGAAGCGTGAGTGATTGGTCTATCGCGGGAGAACTCCTTCCTGGGACCTTGTAGGCGTATTTAATCGACTAAGATCATCGCAAAAGACAGATTTAGCTAGATTCAGTTGAGTTTCCTGTCAACAAAACCAAATTAGCGTGTAAATGAGTGAAGTTTCAACAAATCAGGCCGACCGTCACACATGACACAATCTATCGAACGCCTGAGGTTCGATCCCCTCATTAAACAAGAGGACGAATGACTGATGAGTTGCTAAGGAAGCGTTCGTGGGCAAACCACCGCTTTCAATTGATCCCTCAGAAAATCTCTTCACCACTGTGTCACAAGAAAAACTATTCTGTTACGGATGCAAAAATTTCCCTCAGGTCACATCTTTGGCTCAGTGCAGTAAATCCAGCTCTCTTACTTGTTGAAGGAACTGTGTCTATCTGGATCGACAAGTGAAATTCAGCACAACCGCGCTGACCCTCTGTATTGGATACTGGTGTCGTTGTTGTTTCAGGAAAAGACTGCCACCTGGTGCAGGAACTTGTCCAGGTGGCAGTCTTCTCCTAAAACAACTGGGAACGCACAAATCGGTAATACATCCAACGAATGTTTTCGCCTGTTTTTTATCTGTGCAATTGAATGCTTAGCACTACATCAAACGAAAATAAAACCAAAAGTATTCCGATCCCGTCATACTGGAAGCCAACATACATCACTCATATATCTAAATGGTCTTCTCGAAGGCCTATCAACAGAGAGAAAACCAAAGTTCGGGATAACCACCGCGTTCTGTTAGCCTAGAGGGAAAGTTGTATACTTAACACTGTTCTGAAACTTGATAGTTCAGGAGGCCAAACAGAGCTCTTCAAAAATCATTTTAGAGACAGGCGAGAAAAAGTATGGATGAAACCCCAGGCCTCTAAACCTGCTCCATAGAATCCATAAAAAGACGTTCCAGGTATTTGACGATTTTGTGTATTAAGAAGTAAACTCTTTGGGGCAACATCCATATGAGAAAGTATGCGCCAGAGGCATAAATCATTTCCACTGTAGTATGTTCTTGGGAGAAATCCAGCAACTTTGAAAGGTTCGGTTCAACTAAAATGAGGCTACATGATGAACTAATCAGATGTAACTGAATGAGAAATAAACAGTTAACTTATCTGCCAGACAATCTCGAAACAGCCAAGCGCGTTGGGAAAATTTGCTGCTCCTTAGACAATATATAAACGTAAGCAGAAGTGGAGGAATCACCCAGCGAACCACACACTCACAATATTTCCTTGTATGGTGACGAGACGTTTTCAAGCTAATTGCCGAGCTCGGCGAATAGATCAACTGCCACCTGATCAACCCCCAAGACATCCTCTCATTGGTTGAGCTGTTTCTCCTTTCTGGAGAGAACTGCTCATCGAGTTGGACACCTATTTTGTCTTCATGCACCTCAGCCCCAAAACAATTACCGTGTCTGACTTGATTAATGCGCGCAGGGAGTGAGTAATTTTGTTTATCATCGACTAATCGGACAGATTAGGCTCTATGTGCCTTATTCGTACTAGCTTCTAATCAACGCCCTTGAACCCACGACGAATGACATATTGGAGTACTAAAGATGCGGGGTTTCACCATCTGTTTTTTGTTCCACAAACGTCAGTCCGGTAGAACTTCGCTAGCCCCTGCTAAAAAGGGGGCTCCTGGACGCATTCCGACTACCACCAGTGACATGTATCCCATGAAACTTAGAGATGGATCGTAGGGTAACTGTTAGTAAATGAGTCCAACCCGTTGCTTGTATTTTATGGCCGGATGACTAGCAGTAACTTTTGCACGTTCCCACGCATGCTCTGGCGCCATTAAAAGACAGAAGTTACCACGGCAACTGCCCTAGAAACCTTAGAAAGGTTGCGTTCACATTTTACTCAACACAGCGGAGACGTGCACTGAAGTAGACTGGGGCACCGCATTGTTTGTTACAAAACAACAGACAATCAAGAATTTTTCACGGAAACTTGGGGGAAAAGGCGCAGCCGTCACAATTATGGACCATACGACACTTCGCAATAAACGAACGGAGACCGAATGGCCCGTGTTTTGTAGTATTGTGGCGCGTCGACTCTCACGACAACCGTCCTTTAGGTCGCTTTGTCGATTGCCAGATTTCCCATTGGTCTGAGATAGAATTTATAGTTTTTAGAATGTATATCAACCTATGCCCGTTCAAGACTCACGCACTTCTACCGATAACGTACTGATCATATGACTCTGACTGGTGACGGGAGCTATGTAACCAAGTTGTCCAGCTTATAAAACAGATAGGCGGCCACTGTTACAGGTTAAGCTGCTAATATTTCCCCATAACCTGCCTTGATATTGAGTATTCTTCATTTGGCGACGTCTACCAGATAGACTCACATAAATTCTTGGGGTTGTGGACAAATTTGTCATATTCTGTAACTAGCGTGGTGAGTAAAATTTCACCTTTCTCCTGGACTTTAATAGACTTAAAATGACAAAGGCCGAACTGGTAGCCAAGAGAAAATCTTGGCAGTCATAGCAACGGTCCCTGTCAAATTGAAACCATGGGATGCAACTGACATGCGGGCAGTGGGCGGCCCCGGATTGTTCAGAAACACTCAGACACAATCCTGGTGGACTAGCTGCAAAGCTCCTACAGTTGCTGCCTCTCAGGGAACAAAGAACGACCGCAAACTGAATAGTCAACTAATTACCCTCAAGCACCTTTTTGAAGAGTCAAGCGACGTTTATTCATCCAGCCGTTTTTCTTCACCTTTCTGCAGGTATGGTTGTCGGGGCTATGTGTGCCATTACCGGAGTCATGACAATCTCTCTACCCGTGCCCGTAATTGTTTCCAACTTTTCGCGATTCTACACTCATACTCAGGCGCAGTCCAAATTGCCCAAAAAACGCCGACGTGTGCTTCCTGTCGAAGCTGTGAGGCCAAAGATGATGGGACCAAGTGGACTCGGGGCGTCCGGGACTAACCCGTTCGCTGCCCGCTCCGGGTTTCCGAACGCGACGCATGACTTTCACTCGAACCATGCCGGTCGTGGTGCAACAGTGGAAGTAATGCAGAGAACAACCGGAGGTAGTGTGAATCCCAAATTACGTAGTAAGTGTCCCATCACGTATATCTTCCTAGCATGTTTAGCCGAGGTAAGGAAAAGTTGGCTAGGATGAGGTAGCTCAACCCGAAAAGCTTCCCGCATAAGTGACCTGTGTTTTCCCGGTTAGCAACTCACATAAGCGGGACTCACCCAGAGTATCGATCAGCTAAGCGTTCATTCTCCAAGTATAGTTGTCTCCCCCATTGTGGTGTAGCGCAGGATGTCCAGAATCCCAATAAGAAACTGAGCTCATCCATCGCCTTCCGCTAAAGTCAACATCTTTACACTGGACACAAGTCACGAGAAGTTGGTTCGGCTGATCGGTAATCGAGGTGGTGCGAGTGGGAAGCGAACTGCACTCAGTAGAGAATAGATTAAATGCTAATTCAGTGGAAGTATAAAATGCACGATACGCCTCCGACCTATGTGCTGCGCACGAAGTCCCACATAAAACACATGATAATTTTCTTCAGTACTTCACTAACCATTACTTGGAGATATCAAGTTCCATTTCACTACGCAGTCCATCGAAATTGAGCTGATGGTCCCAACCCACGATCAAATCTGGGATAATGCTTTTCTGCAGTTTGTTGCCTTTGACTGTTCTCAAGGATAGATTCTTTTGTTCTGTGTGAGGTGTGGACCTGATTATGGAGGACAATTACTTGTACTCTGGCATAGATTTTGGGCTGTTCAAGAAAGGAGAAAGTTGGGGATATTTTATCTGGTTCTAGAACAGGTGTTTTACGTTGTTAGTGTATATGATTTTGACGAGCAATTTTACGGTGTTGTCAATAGTTGGTATACGTGAAACTACTTTAAGCTTTGAATTCACCTGAGCAACATACCAACAGATGTCTTTGGACAAGTTTTGTTTTTATGGCGATATTTCTGTCGTATTCAACTGAATTCAGATGAAATCGTCCAAGGCAATAGTTGGAGTCGAGCAGCGCCATTGATTTTGATCGATTATTTGTGCAATTTTGCTAAACCATTCCCAGAAGAGAACGAGAGTCGGCTTTCTGATGCAAAAACAACAGAGGAGAAAATCTACTCTGACGAGCACTGTGGTTAATAAAAATGCTTGAAAGAATCATATCGGAATATCCGAAACGAAAGAAACCGTTATGGTGTACTACGGCAGCATAGTCTAGGTAAAATGCAAACAAAAAATCACAAAGTAAAATACCGATCAAAGCTAAAACTCGCACTGGTTCTCCTCAAGTCCAATCCTTCCTGCGGCAACTTTGAGTAGTCCAGATCACTAACTGTTCTTTCGGCCCTCGTTGTAGCGCTTGCATTCAGCTGATAGTTCCTCACAGCGTGAATCACCTCTATCATGAGACGCCAGTACCATTATCGAGAGTGACCAAGATAGGACTCGCATTCGAATATCTTCTGTAACAGTTCTGTTCTTCTTAGGTGGATTACTATCGACTGAGTCACCAGTCATTGGTTCGAAGCAATTAGTGGCTACCAGTGCAATTACAGGCAGCCAGATTTCAAGGGAGGACAGCGGGAAAATTGGAGTGTTGCGTGGACAATTCAGTCATTGTGGAGCTTCCTCTTCAACTTTTTAATACTTTCTGGGGCAAGAGCACGGCAGAACACCGAGGTAGCTCGTAAATCAAATGTTTACGAGTGACGACGGTCAGAGTTTGCAGTTCAAGAAGGAACATTGTGATGTGTAATTTATTTCATTAGAAAAACATGGCGCCACTGGACTGAGAAGAATCAGTCGTCCATATGGAATCGTGATGCTAAGTCTCTTAGATCGCAGTAGCCTCGGCGTTAGCGACTCATTTCAACTGGGGAGGAGTGCATTAGTAATTTATTGGACTCCTTGATAGAACATCTTGAATCCCCATTTCTGGACAAACCGATGAATAAAGATACAATCGTAGCCGTAGCAGGCCGTAAAGTTTAAGCTGTAAAGGTTGATCAAACAACAGATGTCATTTTTTCCTAGCTACTGGTGCACATTTTAGGATATTTGTAACAGATTAAGATTGTGGTGCTGCAAAACTATCAGCCATGACCCAATATTCCCAGTAGTCTTAGAAACATTGTCGCGTAAACAACGACAACGCCTTCAATCTAAGTAATTTTGTAACTTCTTCAGTTCGGTATTTTTTCGTTTATAACATTTTTCAACTGAATTTTACGCACAGGGCTCGTCTCATTTTTCTGCTGGCACACTTTTCAAGATATCAGGACAATTACTTGCCAGAACTTTGCACTACTCACTGGGTCACTGAAACTTCTCAAAAGCCCACAGCCGGTTTCGTCTTGCTTGAGGCCTAGTCCCCGAGCTTTCATCACTGTTAATTTCTACCTGGATATGGGAGTAAATCAGTTATTGGGCAGGCTGTCTGCCGCAAAACAAAGTGAGACAAACACATTGTGCTTGTCGGTAGACCGACCAGAGAACGACCACAAACAGCACCGTTAGCACGGGCCGCAAACATGCAATCCGAACAATGGGTACATAACCGCTGAAGTCAATAAATATGTTGGAAATATTTCATGTTTTGTCTTCTGACAAATGGTTTGGATGACACCATCCCTTATTTTCATCTGCATTTCAGCAAGCGTGAATAGTCGAGATGCAGATCAAACCGAGCGCGAAACTCTTTTTCCGTCCTATTCCCATGTGGAAGCCCGCGTGGAACCAAGCCTACTTTTTGACTTCCCGTTGCCAACGACGAACAGTACAAGTGCGGCGAATACTAATGTCACATCGGAAAACGACATGAAGCCACAAACTGTGCAGTCAGACAGAAAAGAATCGAATAAACAAGATCATCTGAACTCATTGTCCCTTAGTCGCACAGCTTTGTCAGACGCTCCAGTGGAGCCAGATCTCAAAAGTCGTGGACCAAGCACACAACTCATTGCCAACGATGTTCGCGCCTCACCCTCTGTCCTTGTTTCAAACACCAAAGATGACGTAATGCTCAATTCTGAAGGAAACTTCCAACAATATGATGAGTACTTGAGAATACAAAGGACATCAGAAATCACTCCTCCACGTCTATCCATTGGGTCAGTGGAAAAAATGGACAACATTCGCACCGATGCGTCAAAATCACGAAACAGACCATTCACAGAAGCACGGATATGACTCGAGATTATGGGGACACCCGGAAGTCACCAGAGTACTATACGCAACGTTGATCAGATTGAAATTAGTGCGTTCATTGATCACTTATTTTTCTTCTTTCCTATCCCAGCTGAGTCATAATATGTAAAACTGCAGTGACATGCTGAAAAAAGTGCTGTTGGCCAAAAGGACACTAGTTTGTTTGAACGTGATGTTTGCAGAACCTGCGCTTTTTCGAACATTAGGAAAAGTGTTATTTGTGATACAGATACGTTTAGCGCTTGGTTAACCGAAGCCCGGTTCACTCCAGCCGTTGTATAGTCTTCTTTCATATAATCCTTCTGTCAAATCGCCGTTCCTTATATGTCTGGACAACTGGTTCGGTAATAAAGATTAAGAACAACTGAGGCGAACCTCCACTACTGGTTCGAACGTATTGTGGTGGCCCAAACTGGTATGGTAAACAAGAATACTGTCCTAAAGGCGTAGCGCCAAGCACATCGTTTAGTACATTTGAAGATAACAACGGCGAACGAAAGGATCATACGTCACATCCTTGAAAGCTGTTCGGGAAAAGTCACTTTGATTGGCTAGACCCCTTGATTCAGTCATACACGCCAGCTACCAAATTCAGACTTTGAATGGCTACGACCTCTATGTCTGTGTGTTGATGGCCATAACTTTTTGGTTCGGTGTTCTGCGAAGATATTCCTCCATATAGAAGAATGTACTTGGAATGCTCGGGAAAGAAAAATACAGTGGGTCGAGTCAACTAGAGCGTGTCTGACCCACTCTAGTGTACCCCCAATGACTAACTTCCAAACAAGTTCATATTATACCCTCGGTGAAAAGGCCAAGTACGGTAAATGACTAGGAAGTTAGTCCACTTCCCCAATGTTAATGTCCATTTAGTTCACTGAAAAAATTATCCGTAGCAATAGGAAGCCTTGACAGGTGGATCGATCGCTAGGCACAATCCGGACCGTTACCCCAGGTGTTGGGTAAAACAGCCACGTCGCCCCAGCGTGAACACGCTCGCCCGTTCAGACGTGATAGTGCAGGTACTTCTATCGTGCCTTGCTTTATTAGTAACTCGGTCACCTATGTCAGAGGTACTGAGTTTGAACCCATGCACATCCAACGATATACATTGTGACTGACCCCTAATGAGAAGCCCGTTCAGATAGTGCAGGTACTTCTATCGTGCCTTGCTTTATTAGTAACTCGGTCACCTATGTCAGAGGTACTGAGTTTGAACCCATGCACATCCAACGATATACATTGTGACTGACCCCTAATGAGAACAGAACTAGGGTCCTGTGCTTCACCCTCTTTCGGGTGGACTAGCCAAAATAATCAGGAAAGTAGCATGAATACAAATTCTACAAATCCCGCAGCCAGCTAGAGCCAAACAGTCAAATAAACGAATAATCTCAGACACAATCTGTTTGGCATGAACAAGACGTTTCGAAACACATCCGGCAATACTACCTACCACGTGAATAAATGATGCGCACCCATCGCAGTGCGACTTCGGTGTTGTGTTGTCGTCTGCACCGTGTTCCCGACAGTGAACAGACTGAATTAGCTCCTTTTTCTGGTTGTTCATTTCCGCAGCGTTAAACCCCTTTAGGATGGAGTGAATTTGTGGGGGTGGGAGTCAAGTTTGGACTGACCAAGCTACTTGGCCAACTTTGTTCCTCCGCAAGCAATCCGTCAATGACCCGGAGCTTTTTTGCGTCTGACTATAGCGCAACTGGCAACCGGTCAAACATAATGGTACTCGAATCAAAGCGCAATTTTCAACAGTGGTGTTTATCTACTAGATTTTAAGCTTAAAAGAACTCTGTGGTTCTTTGTCTCGCTAGCCTTAAGATCTCGGGGAAAACTTTTAGACCCTTATGCTCACAGTTTGTTCACCATCACGATGAGCTGTTGTCCCTACAAGCCTCGTTTATCTTTTCCATTAGGTTATTTCTTGCCTTTGAATGAAATCACTTTTGTTCGAAAATCAGCCAACACTGGTATATAAAGCCTCCCGTCTTGTTCTGATAAACGAGTTGATACAAGCCTGTTGACAGATTTCAGCACATAATCCTGTCTTCTAGTTCAGTGTGCTTTTTTACCGCTACAATGACCGGTTATTGTTCCCTGAAAGGATGACGGCTCCCTCTGATATATACCTCCCCCAGTATGTCGGTTTTCTAGACGGCTCCCTGTCGTTCATTCGCATGGACCGACTGCCTTTGTGACCACCTGAAGCTCACCAGTATAGTCCTCTTAATATCCATTCTGGACCGTCGGTACATTTTAATAATTCATTTTGACTTGACGTTTCTTTTGGGATCATACTCATCGAGAACTCCGTCCTTCCGCTGTTTGATACAGCCATATTGTCGGCAATAATCTCCACCACTGTCCCAAAGTGTCCACCACTCACAGTATTGTAAAGAGGAAGGAAATTCTCCTAATTACGACAAATACACTGGTTTTGACGGCAGACTCAGGCGGAACACAGCTGAATCTCAAGTAGAACACGAGGTTGAAGGAAACTCGAGGACTGCGCCTTCCTGATGAGCCCCAAGAAGGGCGAAACCGTTCATGGGCTATCGAAGAGTTTTCAGCAATCTTATGAGTGGTGTATTACGTCTAAACTTTCCCTAGTCTTCAACAGAATGAACAGTACACGTCCTATCCTAAGGACCTCATCGTACTTCCATGAATATAATGGAAGTAAAAAGTTGATCTTTAGCTGCGCGGCAGAAACAGTGGGGTATAAGCTAAAAAAAAAGGTCGTCCTTATTATTGCTGCCAAGTGGTGGCGTCACAGCTACCGACTGTGGCTTGACAAACTATTCATCTTAGCCATCTCAAGTAAAGTTCTGTTCGGTCGATCCTGGTAAACGAAAACACGGGAGTATTTATTCACTATACTGTCACCTTCAGCCCGACAACTTGTCCTACCTCGCACATCTTCATTATGAATCTTCACACTTTTTCTGTCCGTCTGTTCGTGTTATAAGAGAACGGCGTTCCGGAGGTTCGGTAAACAATCGGTAGATTTATTGCTTGACGAAGTTTCGCTTTCGACACAAGAGCCTATTCAGGCCGAATGGGTGAATAACCAGGTTGAACGGGTTTTAAGGAATTCAGGGAACCAATCCGTGATTACTTTGATTATGTCGATAATGAATAAGAGTAAGGTTGAAGTCGGAAGGTATTTAAGGTCAGTGATAAACCATCTGGGGCAGGGCAAGTGGTACCGATTGTACCCAAAAAGTGCAACCCAACCACGGATTACCAAAAATTCACAAGGAAGGTGTCACTAAGAGACCAACAGTGGATGGCATAGTTTCATCACCACATGGCCTGGCCAAATTTCTGGCAGGTCTCTTTAAATCACTTACCGGTAATTCACCAACCCACACCCAAATTTCGTATGACTTTGCCAGAAAAGTAGCTGCGCATTTGTTAGATCTAGACAAAGTTCTTGTTAGATTTGATGTCAACTCGATGTATACCAATGTTTCTAAAACTCTGAAAGTAGCGAGAAGACACAGCGGCAGACACAACGCTGCAAAAACGAACGCAACTTTCCGCAGACGAGATAGTTGAAGGCATGAACGTACGTCTAAGCTTCAGTCATTTTGTTTGTGACTCAATTACATACTCTCAAGAACAAGGTCTAGCGATGGGATCTCCAATATCCCCGATTTCAGCCAACAGGTACATGGAAGGCTTTGAACAGAAAGTTTAGACGGATTCGAGTGTCCGCCAAGGGCTTTCTGGTGTTGCGTAGATGACACGTTCGTTGTGACAAAGCGGGGTAGGATTAACGAATTCTTTCAATAAATTAACACTGAGAACCCTCACATTAGGCTCAGCATGGAACTAGAGTCCACATCGGGTACACTACCCTTCCTTGACTTGATGACACAACAAAGGGAACTTAAAAACCCAAAATAAACAGATAGTGGTACGGTCTTAAGCTACTCCTCTGAACACCCAAAAGCAGTATATGCTAGCATAGTTCCAACGATGCCTAGTAGAGCGAGCGCTGTGCATAGAGGCCAACCGAAGAGCAGTACAACTTGAAGTAAAAAAGCGACTTCAAAATAGCAAATACCCACTTGGTTTAATTACGCGACAACTAAGACAGGTATTGGCCCCAACACCAAGGCCCAACAAGGAGCGGATGAAAACAACCGTCATTCCACACAAAACAGGGACATCTGAAATCATTAGAAGACAGTGAATACGGCTAACATTAGAGCAGCATTCCAGGAAAGAAAAACTTTACTCCCAGTGTTGGTGCAGCTGAAGGATCGCCTTCCGGTTGATAGGACTATGAACTGTGTACACAAAATAAATGTGACGACTGTACGAAGGTTTATACAGGTCAAGCAGCCAGGAAACTGTACACCGGAATCGGTAAGCATAAGCGATGCACTGACAGACCACCGAGTAACGTAGATGAATAGCAGGCGATAAAGAAAAATTCGGCAATGGCAGGGCATTCTGAGATGTGGACGAAAATTCACACCACAGTGACTGGTGGCCGAGGCGGTAGAAATCGCCAAACATCCCAGCGTGAATAGGATAGAGAGCGTAGAACTGGCAAGCGTGTGGAGAGCGGTTTTCGATTAGCCGAGATGACACGAGGTGTTGTGCAGTTATCAACAAAATGGTTTGGGTCTAAGAGTACAAAATCCAAGTTCCAATTAACCACCCCACCCCCCAACCCTAAACCAATTGTCTTCGCACCCCCGACGAATACCGGCGGACAAAATTTGTGAATGACTCCTAAGAGGAATATTCCATTAAAGACCGGAAAAGCAAGGCCGCAAAATCTGGTTTCAACATGAAGACAATCCACCCTAACCAATCGGTTGTAAATGTTAGTCATCCCCACTAACGAATAAACAGGAACTTCAGACCGACACCCAACACTGATTAAGTTTGCTAGTCATAGATTTCACGGATTGGCTCCGGCTGCCTTAAAACCCGACCAATCTGGTTACTTACCCACTTGGCCTGACAAAGCTTTTGTGTCAAAAGCGAAACATTGCCCAGCAATAAATCCACCGATTGTTCACCAAACCTCTCCGAAACGATGACTACCCAATCGATCCCAAACACTTTCCAATTGATTGAGAATAGCGTTCACGCGGAGCAACAGCATTACACGATACAGACTGCCTTTATTCGAACTTCTGTGGAATAACTAGTTACCTTCCCCTCTCATTTCAGCAAAATCCATCATATTATGGGTTCAACATAGGGGACCGATGAAATGGACTGGTGGACAGAAATTTCTTTCTGATAAGAATCTCTCCACTAGTCTCAAAGTGCTGAAAGGATTGTACGGTTGGTACCAGAATCGGATTTACCAGTTGACACTGGTTGAATCACTGGATGCTTGCGAAACTTTCGGACAGCTGCAAACGATTCATGTTACGTCCAAACCCTTGGTGCCGACCCGAAGGAATGAGACTGGTGGGCGAACAATCGAAGGCCAGCTGCAAGCAGTTGCGCCTAACCATGATGTCATAACAATGAGCACCCATATCAATTACTTATCCATCTTTGAGGTACTAGTGTCATCCGTCAGGTCCTCTAAGCTTCACCACACTACCGCAATTGCTCTTTCGTAGTACTGTGCAAATGTCTTTGGGGGTTAACCATTGTAGCACGCAGGATGTAGGAACACATCCTCAGCAACCGTGCGCTGATCCGAACAGGACGGTATATTGGCTTCCACAGACCCCTAGCATATGATTTGAACGACTATGGGACTTTTCCTATATCATCAGAGAAAAGTGGTAACATACCATCAAATGACCTGATGCCTCGTTAACAGTGTGGCTATACTTGTTGCATGAGAAGCACGCGATGGTACAACTCAAACTTCCCATCATTATTCTGAAGACGACGGTTTCGTACGCTGAGGATGTAAACACCAGTGGAAAAGACCATAGACCTCACTCGGACTTCCACATTGTTTAGCTCAACTGTGTCCAAATTCCAGTAACCCTTCGCTTAAATGAAACCCATGTAACGCCAGTGACCCACGAACATTGAACCTGAAAAATGTACACACGAAAAACTCATCGCCTATCCATCAAGATGACAGTAACTATACACCGTTTGTACATCATTTTGACGAAACCGTAATCTACTCGTAAATTAGTTATGCTTGGGAGTTCGGTAATCACAGGAAAGCGATAAATACAGATCATCGTATAAGTTATTGAAGGAAGAATGTATATCCAAAGAACTGCTGGTCAGTCACAGTTTCTTACTCTAGTAAGCAGCTATGTATGGCGGGTGTGAAGTTGCTCTTTGGCCTCACTTGAAACGCGGTGGAGGGGTGATTTCACATGCTTGAAACCTGAAACCAAAGGATAATAATTCCCATGTTGACCGTTAAAATGTCAAAGAAACCGTCTGTAGGCCTTGATGACACAACAAAGGGAACTTAAAAACCCAAAATAAACAGATAGTGGTACGGTCTTAAGCTACTCCTCTGAACACCCAAAAGCAGTATATGCTAGCATAGTTCCAACGATGCCTAGTAGAGCGAGCGCTGTGCATAGAGGCCAACCGAAGAGCAGTACAACTTGAAGTAAAAAAGCAACTTCAAAATAGCAAATACCCACTTGGTTTAATTACGCGACAACTAAGATAGGTATTGGCCCCAACACCAAGGCCCAACAAGGAGCGGATGAAAACAACCGTCATTCCACACAAAACAGGGACATCTGAAATCATTAGAAGACAGTGAATACGGCTAACATTAGAGCAGCATTCCAGGAAAGAAAAACTTTACTCCCAGTGTTGGTGCAGCTGAAGGATCGCCTTCCGGTTGATAGGACTATGAACTGTGTACACAAAATAAATGTGACGACTGTACGAAGGTTTATACAGGTCAAGCAGCCAGGAAACTGTACACCGGAATCGGTAAGCATAAGCGATGCACTGACAGACCACCGAGTAACGTAGATGAATAGCAGGCGATAAAGAAAAATTCGGCAATGGCAGGGCATTCTGAGATGTGGACGAAAATTCACACCACAGTGACTGGTGGCCGAGGCGGTAGAAATCGCCAAACATCCCAGCGTGAATAGGATAGAGAGCGTAGAACTGGCAAGCGTGTGGAGAGCGGTTTTCGATTAGCCGAGATGACACGAGGTGTTGTGCAGTTATCAACAAAATGGTTTGGGTCTAAGAGTACAAAATCCAAGTTCCAATTAACCACCCCACCCCCCAACCCTAAACCAATTGTCTTCGCACCCCCGACGAATACCGGCGGACAAAATTTGTGAATGACTCCTAAGAGGAATATTCCATTAAAGACCGGAAAAGCAAGGCCGCAAAATCTGGTTTCAACATGAAGACAATCCACCCTAACCAATCGGTTGTAAATGTTAGTCATCCCCACTAACGAATAAACAGGAACTTCAGACCGACACCCAACACTGATTAAGTTTGCTAGTCATAGATTTCACGGATTGGCTCCGGCTGCCTTAAAACCCGACCAATCTGGTTACTTACCCACTTGGCCTGACAAAGCTTTTGTGTCAAAAGCGAAACATTGCCCAGCAATAAATCCACCGATTGTTCACCAAACCTCTCCGAAACGATGACTACCCAATCGATCCCAAACACTTTCCAATTGATTGAGAATAGCGTTCACGCGGAGCAACAGCATTACACGATACAGACTGCCTTTATTCGAACTTCTGTGGAATAACTAGTTACCTTCCCCTCTCATTTCAGCAAAATCCATCATATTATGGGTTCAACATAGGGGACCGATGAAATGGACTGGTGGACAGAAATTTCTTTCTGATAAGAATCTCTCCACTAGTCTCAAAGTGCTGAAAGGATTGTACGGTTGGTACCAGAATCGGATTTACCAGTTGACACTGGTTGAATCACTGGATGCTTGCGAAACTTTCGGACAGCTGCAAACGATTCATGTTACGTCCAAACCCTTGGTGCCGACCCGAAGGAATGAGACTGGTGGGCGAACAATCGAAGGCCAGCTGCAAGCAGTTGCGCCTAACCATGATGTCATAACAATGAGCACCCATATCAATTACTTATCCATCTTTGAGGTACTAGTGTCATCCGTCAGGTCCTCTAAGCTTCACCACACTACCGCAATTGCTCTTTCGTAGTACTGTGCAAATGTCTTTGGGGGTTAACCATTGTAGCACGCAGGATGTAGGAACACATCCTCAGCAACCGTGCGCTGATCCGAACAGGACGGTATATTGGCTTCCACAGACCCCTAGCATATGATTTGAACGACTATGGGACTTTTCCTATATCATCAGAGAAAAGTGGTAACATACCATCAAATGACCTGATGCCTCGTTAACAGTGTGGCTATACTTGTTGCATGAGAAGCACGCGATGGTACAACTCAAACTTCCCATCATTATTCTGAAGACGACGGTTTCGTACGCTGAGGATGTAAACACCAGTGGAAAAGACCATAGACCTCACTCGGACTTCCACATTGTTTAGCTCAACTGTGTCCAAATTTCAGTAACCCTTCTCTTAAATGAAACCCATGTAACGCCAGTGACCCACGAACATTGAACCTGAAAAATGTACACACGAAAAACTCATCGCCTATCCATCAAGATGACAGTAACTATACACCGTTTGTACATCATTTTGACGAAACCGTAATCTACTCGTAAATTAGTTATGCTTGGGAGTTCGGTAATCACAGGAAAGCGATAAATACAGATCATCGTATAAGTTATTGAAGGAAGAATGTATATTCAAAGAACTGCTGGTCAGTCACAGTTTCTTACTCTAGTAAGCAGCTATGTATGGCGGGTGTGAAGTTGCTCTTTGGCCTCACTTGAAACGCGGTGGAGGGGTGATTTCACATGCTTGAAACCTGAAACCAAAGGATAATAATTCCCATGTTGACCGTTAAAATGTCAAAGAAACCGTCTGTAGGCGAATAATTCTATCAAACTGTTAACTATTTTAAAAAGAATATGAAGATATGGTTCGTTAGTTTCCATGGTTTTACGTCGTACAATCTCGTTGCCCAGCTGAGGAACTGATGTGCTGATCAGCTAATCAAGGTTTGCATTCACACACTATTCACTGGACGCAAATGTGAATGCACAACTCTGTGAGGTGGTTGCATTCGGTGCTACAGAGGAAGGCAGAATTAGTTTACTGGTCACAGAAACTCGGTGACCAGGTGCACTCATTTGTACAGTGAGATGACCCGACCAAATTTCAGCTCAATCTCGTTTAACTTGAAGCCAATTGTATATCATCCATAGTGTGTTCCAATGAAACACACGGAACTGCCTCCACTTGATGAGATCCAAGAACGGCAAAACCGATGGTGGGCTGTCCAGGAGTTTTCAGCAACCCTGAGTCGTGTGTCACCTCAACAAAAAACGCTCTTTTTTAAACAGATGATGCGTTTCTACGGGACCAAGTTATGCAACATTTGGGTAACGGATCGACTTTATCGCCCCTAATATCTGCTATCCGCAGCTTACAGAGGGAAGACGCTTAAGATAGTCAGGGTCAAATGTGAATGAATAACCAGTTTGAAGATGGCCGCTTCATGGCTTCTTATATCAGTTGGGTGATCTAATTGGACGGCTCCACGTAGACGATAGGTCACAGTGAACGAAAACGGATGCCATGGATTGCGGGTAACAAGGGAAAAACAACTCGAACAAATGCTACCTTGTGACAGTATCGTACTGCAGCCCATGGCCAGTTAGAGCAGGCCATCAAGCGGATGACAATCGCAGATAAACCGTACTACAACCACAATTTTTCGATTGTTTGTTCAACTGGCCCCAGTGAACCTTTCGGTGGGCAGCCTTTCTCATTAAAGCGCAACCAAATACACCCAATCTCCGGCTTTTCGATAAATCTGCTGGTTCCAACGCTGCCCAACGTCAGATACATTAAATTTTCGCTGTTGACGATATTCGGCCAAATACCGTCAAATTTGAAACAAGGAACGCGTACATTGAACAAACTTTAAACAGGCCCATTTACAACAACCATCCGGTCGCTAGGACAGTCTCTGCTCGACCAGAATTAGGTTCTACGTTAATCCAACAGATTAAATTTGCACACTATGCATAACAACACCCCCATGCTCACTCGCATCTCAGTATAGCGATGTTGAGAGCCAACAAAATGGTGGAAGTAGGGATTCATGCGAAGGCAAAGGCTAAGTGAACAATCGGGAAAAAATGGCAAGACACATTTTTACATTCTTCACTAAGAGAATACAGACTATGTATAACAGGGTATTCAAACCAAACCACTGAGGATAAATTATTGTCCAGAGGTCACAGAACATCCAAGTAGCACGAGTATCCTACCCTAATGGACCAGATAACCGAACAAACCAGGTCCGGTACAACTGTGGTTGTTTTGTACTGATAGATTACCAGCGAAATCACAGTGGTCCAGTCGCTAAATCTCAGTAGTGTGCTGAGTTCTTCATCTAAGGACATTTGGCGGATAAGTCTGTAAAGGCATCAGGTGCCTTCGTTCAAAGTGAATCAATGGAACTGAACAAACGGCCTGATCTGCCACGAACGAATTCTAAATCTGGTTGGTAAAAGTAATGATTTTCCATGATGACGGTCGTACGAAGTGAAACTAAGAAACTTACAACAAGGCTCAGTGCATCATATGGATGTGGTTCAGGTTGCTAGTAGGTTGAGCCAAACTTTACTTGTTTGAACCTGGGAAAGGTTTTGCCTTGACACACTGAAATCTTCGGTGTGTTTAGACAATGGTGGTAACACAAGTGACATTCTGTAACCGCCTTCCTACAAAACAAGAGATTATACTGGTTGGGTGGGGTGGCGTGGACCAGCAGTCACGTCTTCATCTTCATTGTGGGTTTCAGCTGTCTAGTACCCAACAACCGCGATTTCACAAAAATCGGCCACTAATAGGAAGCATGAACAGCCTGATATTTCTCATATGGTTATCCCTTAACACAAATCGCGCCCGATCAGTCGCCGTATAACAAAATCACGTAAGCACTGTACACGAAGATGCACCTGCATGTTTGGTGTGATGATGTAATCCGACGACGGATGCCATTTCCCTGTGCGTGCATATGGGAAACAATGTACGCGAGATACCAAGCTCTAGGACACTCACAATAGTAATTAACAGTGATAATGAAAATAACAATGAAGTAAAAGCGGCAAGGAGCACTTGGTCTCTGTCCGGGAGTAGATCAAAGGCACAATGTTGAGGCTTGGATTTCTAGTCTAGGGTTCCCAAGAAATTTCAGTCTCAAGCCATTAGTGCCACAGAAACCTACCCACTCAAATAGTCCAATATCTCCCGCGTTTTACTGACTTGCTTGGAAGTACGTCCAAAAGTGAATTCTTCCATTGAAAGACACTGCAAAGAAATATTACAGTTAGGGACCAAACTAACCAAGGGACGCGTTTAAAATTCAGGCACCCGCTTTATTGGGTAAACATATGGCCACAGGCAGCACAAAGACGAATAATGAACTGAGGACCGGAGGAACAGCCGGCCCGTCACAACAGGGAAAGCGATAAGAATCCAGCATAGAAAGAGTAGATGGTTCGATAGATACTTTGGACAAACTGTGGTCCATCCGTCAGTTGTATCTATTAAGTTATTAGCTCTTGAACAAACCATATTAGTGAAGTGTCTAAGAGCTCTGGAGGTAAACCTATATAGTGCGTGAAATGTTATTATAGGCGTTCGTTATTTTTACGCCTTCCCACGGTCTTCTCAACTTACAGCCTTAAACATCTAAATGAGTCATATCTGTCCCGTTATCGATCTTCAGTCATTCTCATCAACGGCTTACAATCTCCAGAATGCCAAATCGACAGCTTTTTGGAACGAAACGCCATTGCAGTTGGTGAGATGCCAAATTCGAAGAACTCAAAAAACTCAAACAGCCAGTAAAAGTACCAGTCGGGTTCTATAAACATGTTGCTCTGCTTTCGATTTAAAATACGCGTTTGGGATTACTCCACCTTCAAAGTAGAGTGGAGTGGACGGAGGAGAGAGGTTAGGTGGAATAGCTAACGAAAAAAGATGATAGTGAGTGATTTGAAGAAATGTAATCTCCACGGTTCATATAGCTGAGCGTACTAATAATACGACGTCAAACAGAAAGTCTGAGCAGTTGAAGTGAACTAAACTAATGTTTGCTGGCTTTGGGAGCAATTTTCACAAATTAGAGAGCTACCTGGTGATGGCAAATGAAAATTATATGGCGCGTGACAACGCTGCATGAATGCCATCTTCAAGTTGTTATTCGCAATTACCACCAGCACCGGATCCCCTAAATGACAACGTCTCAACACAAAAATGGTTATGATACCACAATATGCACTTATCTGATTGACAAGTTCATGTTATGAAAACGGAAGTGTGAAAAACAACTAAAGCATTGTGGCAAAAATGTATACATCAAACCTTTCACAGGATTGAGGAATCCCAAGTGAATAGCTTGGAGGAATGGCGAAAATTGGATAAAACTTTCCGGTAAATTTGGTAAAATAACGCTTTAGTCTTATGTGGCTGTCGTTTTTGTTGTGACGTTATGCTGGTCCCCACGAGTTAGTACATTCGTTCGCAAAATCTAGCATGTATTTAATAGATAGATTCGTTTCAAATTTGAAAATCCCAAGTTAAGAAAGGCCCGAAAGGTTCATAAGCAAAAGCAAAATAACAGCACTGTGTGCAGTTTGGTGAGTTTATTTAATCAAAAATTGCACCTATTCTACGCTACTTGGGTGGCCGCTGCCCCTTAATTGATGTTTTATAGAAGTACACCTAAATATATTGTTGTTCCACACAAGCAATGAATTCAGCGGGTTAATTCGATTTTTCCAAGGCACAGAGAAAAATTTAAATAGTACCAATTATTGCTCTCGCGGATCACCTGACTGAATTATGAGGAGCAGGTACATTTTCAGGCCCTGGAAAAACAACCTCCCCAAAGAAGGGGACCGACGGTGATTTACGCCTGTGACTTTTGACTCCGTGTGGAAAGGACTCCAGCGAACAAACTGGCTTCTTGAATTTGAACACCGTAAACTTTTTAAGTTCTAGCTTTTATTTGAGGTCAGCATGACAGCTTCAGTATGAATCTCTGCATCATCTCGCCAGTCGATTATTGGGTAATCTTGACTTTACATCGTGCGTATACAGACATGGTCAGATCGACATTGATCCACACAACACTACTGATATTCTGTTAATTTAGCACTTAAAAGTTGCTAAAACTAGACTGTTTGCAGAAATCAACTACTCACCTCTCTTGCTTTTTTCGCGGCATCTTTCAAATCACCGGCAACCATTGCGATCGAAAGCAACATTTTCTGACTTACAAGCGCCGCCGGACTGTAGAGACCGTGAAGAAACTGCTGCGTCGCCAAGTTTTGTCGTAAAAATTTCGCGGCTTCCTGGGTATGCCGAAACAGAACTTGGCATTAACAGGGGAGTAGTGCATTCAAACCGATGTGATGAGAAATATAAAATGAGTTCAAGCTACTAACGCAACCTCAGTAGCAGTGACAGCATGCTCAAAAATGTGCAGCAGACCTGGTTGTAGCTCCACGTTGGCTTCGAAACACGTAACCGAATAGTCGGAAATTTGGACCACTGTTAAAAAGCGAATATTGTTAATTTCTGTTCTAGTATCAACTAGTTTATATAAATTTTGTGGATAGGTACAGCTTTATTCACTAAAAGTAACACTACGGGAGGCGGCCAACCGGTAGCTCAAAGTCGAAAGTGACTTAATACCATAAAGCAACTCATATGAAACCAGAAACTTACATCATATCGTCGACTGTCTGAGTACATCTTGATCAGGGTCGAGCGGATTAAACAGATGAGGTCGGATAGCTTGCGTTTTAGGTCTGACAACGGGTTGCCTGTAGTGCTGCTTGTCTCCGAAGGTAGCTGAGTTTGCAGAAGTCGATAGCTTAGAGACAATAGTCTGTCATTTTCCGATTGAGCCAACTGCTCTGAGTGGACAAAGGAAACGTTTTCATCCTCGTCTACAGACGTATGCATCCACTCCAACGTATCTTTCAGCAGTTTCTCCGCAACTTCTGTTCCAGTGAGGAAACAGGGGAATATAGAGGGGTTGACCCATTACAAGAATTAAATCCTTCAGAGAAAATCATTAATACACTAGGCTGAGTTAGTCCTCACTGGTGGTTCACTAGACATACCAAGCCCTGAGCGATGAAGTTCAAGAAGTTCTTAGTCTGCAAATGGAATGAAAAATCATTTGTTTTAGTCCTTTCTATAGGCTCCCTACGCTTTGCAAACACAATGCCAACTGACCACTGGGCGAGATGGCCCAAGTGGTTAGAGCGCGAATTTACTGACCGGAAGGTTCGTGGTTCGAACCCGACCTCTGCCTCCCCACTACCCCTGTCTAGGCTTGGGCAACCTGACAGTAGCATAGCCCTCGTGCTTCCTTCGGGTGGCATGGCAGTTAGGCACCGGAAAGATGCTACAGATGAACACCACAGAGCGAAATCCGTTTATCTGTAAATTGCTCCGGATATTTGTACGACCCAAGCTCAACTACCTAGCAGACTTAACTATCTTCACTGCTGAATTAGATCGATGTAGCTTGAGTGCCTACCAGTTATCTCTTCCAAATCCTACGATCCCAGATTCTCTTTGGTGAGCGCTTTTCCACCAAAACCTACGCAGACATGGACTCAATGCCCATGACAGAGATAAATCCGGTGCATCTCATAATCATCTGCTGACTGAGGCAGCAAACTGAACACTTTCAAGGAAAATTGCTGCATTTTATCGTACGATGACTGGACAGCTCAGAATGGACCAAGTTGGAACGCAGCTAAAGGTATACATTGCCTGACCTAGCAAGTTAGCAGGACTTCAGTAAAATCGTCGAACGAAGTGACTGATTAGCTGTATTTTCAGTAAGAGGTCATTTACACATGCAGGCTAACCGTGAAAGGCAAGCAGTGTATCAGGAAGGTCAGCTTGCTGAAAGCAACCACTGAATGCCCGAAATCTACCGAGACTCTCAGGTCCGCTAGATGTTAACCAGATAGACAACGCCCCCTCAATATGCAGCGCGTCACAGCCTTGTGTCAAACCCAGACAGCGCGAGTCAGCGTTGATCAAGGTCAGACAACAACTCCGCAATATGCAGCACGTCGCAGCCAGACCGTGTGCGTCAGCATTGGACCAAGTTCAGAAAGCGTCCTTCCAATGAAAAGCTTGGGGCCGTTGTACTTTTCGCACTCGCACGCACTCACGCTCTCGCACCCACTTTGTTGGAATATAGCTGTTGTGTTCCCTTCCGTGAGCCTTTTTCTCTCCGACACTAGGCACTGGAGCGGGTCAGCAGCAGATACAACAGGCCGGCGAATCAGCAGATATAGCACAGTGTAACTAGGAATGAAGTGCTGAGTAACGCTATTAAGCCGTACGAGGTTCGACCTGAAAACTAGTCACTGCACCAGTATTAAAATCAGTTCACAAGCGACTGAACTGAAAAGACGTTGAACCTCTAGTTCAGTGCAACAGGTTCGATTGCTTCCGAGGATTCATGAGGCACGCACTAATCTGTTCATTTTATTCCGGGGTTATTTAACTGGTGCAGTATCAAAGTGACTAATACTCGGTTATCTACCTTGTTTTGCGAATTGTGCAACATAGCAGCGTACCAACTAAAGGATTACGTGTGCGTTTCGTTCGGTTAATAACTTTTAGCTACCGCAACATTGGAAATGTACAAAATAAGTCACAGTACTTTTTTTTCTTTTTTTGCGTTCAGCTGTAGCACCCTTCCGGTGCCTAGCTGCCATGCCACCCGAAAGAAGCACGAGGGCTGGAATACTGCCAGGTTGCCCAAGCCTAGACAGGAAAGTCGAGTGGCGGAGGTCGGATTCGAACCACGAACCTCCCGGTCAGTAAATTCGCGCTCTAACCACTTGGGCCATATCGCCCCACAGTACTACAAAACCATCTACTATGGTTGGGTTGCGCTTTTGAGTGGAACCGATCAGAACTTCAGGTCAGCTTCTCGAATGACTAAATAAGGATGCACAAATATATGGTATTTAAAAGGGGAACTACGTGGACAGCTCCGTAGGTCTGGAAGTAACCGAAACAGACGTTGTGTCACGTCACAGAAGTGAACAAAACATTCTGGAGTAAGTTGGTTCAATGGACAATAGAAAACTTCGCACGGGCAATGCCAGGGAGCTTCCTTGGGGCTGTTATAGCTGAATCTGCTGGGTTTGCGGACGTAGTCGCTCTTTAGATTGAACTGATGGATCGAGAGCGAACGAATAGCGGTTGTAATGAGTAAAAATTATCTACCTTATGCATCCGATGGTATTAAAAGGCCAAGTTCGTGACAGTTTTAGAAGTGATCACCGCCGAACAGGTGAAATAAAACTGCTTAGTGGCTAAAAGCAGTGTAACATGCGTGTTTGACCTAGGTTTCGCCTGGTGGCAGTGCGCATAACCTCTGTCCCAGAAATACACACCGTTTTATCTAATCCGTCCTTCTATTATTGGGTTTGAAAAAGCGATAAACTTAGAACGGTGATAGACCAAACTGATAACGCGCTGGCACTAGCTACAATATGGGTACGTTGAGCCACTTGCATATACTGTGGGATTGGTTGTTTGTACCTACCTGAGTCAGCAACTAAGGGTCATCAGTTTTGAATCCTGACAACCCCAGTTTTATTCTCCCGGACTTGAAACGTATTATGTCCACATCGTTCAGTGTGCACCGCTTGTGACGATGCACAGCAGATCATTGGCATAGTTCAGTATAACAGTCAAATCCGAAAGCGTACACCGGCCCAACACAACTAGTGTCCTTAAGTATCGTGTAAAGACAAAAGCATACTGTCGAGAATAGACCTGTCCTGGCACTTACCGCAACAGTTGGACTGTTCCGACTTTAGATAGGCCAGACTGAGCCGATGCACCACCAGAAGAACCTCAATACAGTTAAGTACGCTCCTTTCTTCGTTGGCTCTGGCCAATAAAAATAATAATGGGAACCTTGATAGTCGAGTCACGATAAATTGACTACGAATATATGTTGATTGCGGTGAACGAAGCTGGAGCATCTCGAACGAACCACTGCATTTCAGTACAAAGTTTATGAGATGGAAAACTAAACTGAATTGAACGGATATGTTGATTGCAGACAGGCCAAGAGACAAGAGCTGAGCAGCTACTTGTCCAAATGACTGTCCAATTAGATGCTCAGATGAACAAATACAACTGAATACTGACACTTACCAGGTTTTAATCTTCCTCTCTGAAGAACCCAACCCAAGAAAAGACCACCTCACCGAAGATATCAACCATATCTGATCTTCCAAGCTTAGTTTCTATTTCCCCATCAATACTGACTGATGTACACATCAGCTGACTGCCTACGGTTTTCTGTAGGCTGTTCAGCCTTGTACCGTGACTATTGGTTATGCTCCGATTGGTGGCCGATATCTTACATAGATTGTTTGAACGGATGCTGGCGCGTTATCGAAATTGAAGTTATCCACTGTAAAAACAACGGAGGGCTAGAATGGCACTGGTCTGTTCTAGGAGGCAGTTTACTATCGAACCACCCTTGCTGAGTTATATATCATTTGAAACGAAACTAGATGGATTCCTAGAGAAGCGTGCACCAGCCACCGCGTGGGTTGATTTGGGATTCCAGACAACCAGACATCAAATATGAGTAAAATAAGATAAAGTGGTCCAGCTGATGTGTGATTCACTTATTTCCAGAAATATGTATTACTAGATTTCCCAGCAGTATGTTCGAAAACAAAAATTCAAGTGTGAATTATTCAGTGACTCACTCACACGGATAGGGCAATTTTGTAGACTTTGTGGTAATAATGGATTGCTTGCTGGATGTTGGACTCTTCATCCTTGGATTCCGCAAGCTAGATGATGAAATGATATTCGCAACTTCAGAAAGCTTAGAAACTTTTCATGCGAAAAACGCTGAGAGACAGTTAGTTGGTCTATGTAAAACCGAAAAATGGCACCAAAAAGTCAAATTAACAGTATCGGTGAAAGCTCCTATCAAACGATTTTTGCGCAGATAAGCAGTGGAAAGAGAGGCGAATCGTTAATTAGGCCGGAAAGCCCAGAAATAAATGTAAGTACGGACTGTTTGTTATTTTTCTAGGGTTCAAACCTCATTTTTTGTAGGATTAAGACGGCTGCACTTTGTTTTATGGGAAACCACTACGCCGTCGAAACTGGGTAGGATTTTCGTACAGCGATTGAGAGGTTCAACCAGAAGAACACAAACCAAAAATTTACTACCAGCTGTGAAGCAGGGTGGTCCTTACGTGGACGCTTAGCAAAGCAACTGGATGTAGTAGACAAGAGAAAGTAATGAAAGTATGCAATCACCCAGAGCTACAGTTATAGTGATCAGACTTTTCATTTTGTCGCCAAAAATTTATCATCCACCCTACCATATTTCTAGCTACAGTTAGATTTCTGCATCTGCATATGGTCTCAAGATGTTAGAATGGGAGTCGACTGGTGAGACCCATACATGTTTCGCGCCAGAAGCTAGCGCATGATTAAGTCACCAATTTGAGTCTCCCAGTTACCTTGTTCCGATTTGCCAGAATTCGTGTTACTTCGGCAGGTGGGAAGTCCAATGTTACAATGTCTGGGTGCTTGAATCGGTCTCATTAATTACTAGCAGATGCTGGACACTGCAAACCGCTAGAGTCAGATTTTCCTATCCATAAGTCAGCAGATTCTTGGTTTGAACCTGCGTATGTTGGAACCCACCAGGATAGCACTCGCATAAAGACTTCCTGGTAAACAATTTCAGCGCGATAACACTTTTGTTTACGATGGTCCGTTTAAACTGAACGTGCTCCACCAGAATACCTCATGTTTCAGTTGGTATGATATTCGAGTTATCCTAATACGTCGTTGCCTATATGTAACATACCACTCGCGAGGATGGTGAAAACTCCCGATAGCCCACGACCGATTTCGCCCATTGACGAGTCAGTCAGATTCAGTTGAATCTCCTGTCAAGATCAAAATTCCCTTGAGAATGAGAGTACTTGTCTAAATCTCCAAGTGAACTATAAGGTTGATGGAAACTGCGGGACTGCAAGTGACTGCTGAGCCTCAAGAATGGTGAAGCCGACCGTGATCGGTCAAAAAGTTTTTAGCAAACTTAGCGGTGGTGTTACATCCACTTTCTTTCCAAGTTTAGTAGACGCGGGTCACTTCATGACAATAAGAGCAGAAAACAAGACGTTGCTGTACAATCAATTCAACTGAATATTACTCAAGCGCAAGCTAGAACCTAAAGATTTTGCTAATCGGTTATCCTAGACGGAACAAGTAATGGCTATGTCAAGCTATGTAAAACTAAAAAACAAATTTTCAACATTGGGTCTCGCTGGTTTGTGCCCACAATGGGAAGCGTGTACTCGTGATGGACAGAACGGAAACAATGAGCATGCGTTCAACGTCACTGGGTCTGCCTGAATGCGAATGCACTGTTCTAGTTAGTGGTTCTACTATGGCTCAGATGAACTCTGTCCTGTTGAAACGGCTTCGTGAACTTTCAGTCGAAAGATAAAATAGCCATATCAGATTCCAGAATGATGACCAAGACCATTGGGTGGATTGTCCAGAAGTCTATCCACCTGGTCCTATGACAGAAGCATTTACTCCAATTTTTGCTAGAATGTGAAGGGAGAGACGACCACGTTTCACATCCGGTACTCCCGTAATGCGTGCGCGTTGAGACCTTCAACTCCCAGTGGACGGTGTGTGCTGCATACGACCATACACCTTGATGAAGGGCGTAGTCAACTGGCAGTAATGAAAGTGTTCGGTGTGGTAAGGTAGGACGATGTCTGAACTGCGCACGGACCTGGCACACTGACTCAGCTGGCTCTAGCAATGAGCTCGAGGGATACCCAGAGAGCCGCTGATGTACAGTGGATCAGTTTGGACTCGAATGGATCACTCTTCCCTGGTCGCTTACTGTACATGGTGAAGACTGCCTCAGGGTTAATTTGGACGCCGGACTCCTGGCTGGGGAGCAAGTGCTTGCTAGTCGTAGCATGTGTCGATGAAAGAATTGCCCCTGCGAACTCTGTTACTGCGAGGCAAGATGGCTCAGTGATTAGAGCGCGAATTTACTGATTGCATGGTCCGTGGTTCGAACCCGACCTCTGCATCTCGACTAGCCTGTCTAGACTTCGGCAACCTGGCAGTATCCCAGCCCTCGTGCTTCCTTCATGTGACATAGCAGTTAGGTACCGAAAGGGTGGTATAACTGAACGATATGTTTTTTTTTTCGTTTTGGACGACATCCAAGATATCGGACTAAGCTTCTTTTAATCAAATTGCTTCACAGAAGTTCAGTTTCAAGTTAATTTGTGGAAGACCCCTAATATCAAGTTGTCAAAGTGTATCGTCAAACAATTTTTTTGTTTTCCTGACTAAACAAGATAATTAGTGTCCGATTGCTTCAAATTGAAGCAAACAGAAAGCTAATAAATACTCGCCGATCGGATTACCATCACCAAAGGGGTCTAGCAGTTGTAGGTGGGTCGGTAGTGTAATAGGTAGTAGTAAGTAGGTAGTAGGTAGGTGGCGTTACGCAAAATGCCAAATGGCCGGTGGGTTGTTATCCAATAACTTTATGTTCAAAATAATGTCTGCAATGGTACATCTCCAGACCCTACTTATAAGTCCCAATAAAAACACACCTCTGCTTAAAATATACGGTCAAATCGAAACCCGTAGTTAAAGCATCACCAGTTCAGGTAAATCATCTTGACTGTTCAGCCGTATTCAGATGATTGTTCAAACCAAGTCTCACACCAAACGGAACTGAACGTGGCAAACCTTTTGATCTAGTTCTAATGTTATTTCATCTAAAGTAGGACCGTGCAACAAACCTTTGGATTGGACTTGCCTAGCTTTCATCCATTTAGTTACCTTACACTTGGCCTTGTTTCCGAGCCAGTAGGCTGAAGTCAGCCGTGAAGCTGCGGAACAAAAATGAGACGAGGGTGATTTCAGCGAACTCTAATCACATACGCTTAAGGTTGATACAGGGACGCGTTTCAGCTATGGAAATGGGTCAGTCCACATAATAGCGTCACATATGTAGTGTGTAGTGTGTGTAGCCATGGTGACCGAAACCAAGGCAATGACAGCAGGAAGAAAGTTGCTAGAATGTACGATAACTAAGCACCAGAAACACTGAAAACAATCGATGAGGGAAGATTGACAGAGAAATATACAGGAATGGACAGTTTGGGCGAAAATGAACAGTGGTTAACCAAACGCTGGAAACAAATTGCCTTACTGCATTCATTTACCTGACCTCTTACTGCCAACTTCAATCACCTCGCATATTTATAAGCCTCCAACGAACGAAACAAGAAGCTCAGCTTAACTTAAGCAAGAAGCGATGAAAAACATGAAGACAAATCCACACCGTCAAACCCCATGAATAACATAATGTACTGGAATTCCTTCCCTTGCCAGCAAAACAAGTACGTGAGAGCTCTGGCAGGGCTTGAACCAACGAAAACACCACCGTTGGGTAGATAGCGTCATCGTTTTTATACCAGAGGTAGAGCAGAAGAGCATAGTATCCTATTCTGTCGCTGAAATTGCCGACGAGATGAGAGTGGAAACAAGTGTTCGAA